CCTTACAACAACTTTGTGAGATTAGATAGTATGCGAGAGTGTAACTGAACTCAAGGCTATCCAAATTAGCTTCACAGCCAAGAGTGGATTAGAAAGAAATTTCCCCCCAGTCCTAGCCTGCCACTCTAACCTCTACACCACACGGCCCACACAAGACTGTCTTCCTTTCTGATATGCAATTGGCACTTGTCTCATCAGACACAGATTTGGGCTCCCTTCTTTGTATGCAGGGGAACTCTTATCTTGTCATGCATCATCTGAAGGTGCTGCCGAGGTATCTCTGCACACGCACAAACTCTGCTCCTGTGCAAAACCTGCCGAAAAGGAACCGCATAAAAAAGGGGTAGAGGGGAAACCCGAAAGAAATAACATGGCATTGCCCTGAAGGAGGCAGCCTGATGGGTAGCCAATGGGCCAGCCTGCATCAAGGTCCACTCAATCGCTTTCCCGGAGTTCAAGGAATCCAGACTGTATTCTTTTTTTCTTTTCTTTTTTAATGAGTTATGCCTTCTTAAAATCCCTGCATTATCATGTGGTTTACCCACCAAAGTGGTTTCACATATTGCACTGTTCTTGTGTACATATGAAACGTTTTATGTGCACATGTGAACTAAACATATAGTACCTGTGCGTGATAATTATGTTTGCAAATATGCATTATACAGGTAAAAAAGGTAAAGGTAAAGGTTCCCTTGCTTGAAAGCCAGTCGAATCTGACTCTAGGGTTGCGGTGCTCATCTCCGTTTCAAAACCGAAGAGCCAGCGCTGTCAGAAGACGTTTCCGTGGTCATGTGGCCGGCATGACTAAACACCAAGGTGCACGGAACGCTGTTACCTTCCCGCTGAAGTGGTACCTATTTATCTACTTGCAATTTCTTGCTTTCGAACTGCTAGGTTGGCAGGAGCTGGAACTAGAGACGGGGGCTCACTCCGTCTTGCGGCACCCGGGTCTCGAACTGCTGACCTACTGACTTTCCACAGCCTGCAGTGCAGCGTCTTAACCACTTGAGCCACCGCAGCTCCATTATACAGGATTGGCCTTGGTCCCGGTTTTACTTAAGAAGAACACTGCTGGATCATACCAATGGTCCATCTAACCCAGCATCCCATCCCCCAAAGTGGTTTGGCAGATGCCCTGGAAGGGCCAGAGCATGCAAGCAGAGACCAAAGCCCCCTCCCTTGCTACTGTCCACCAACAACTGGCATTCAGGGGCATTTCACCTCTGAATATTCCCATATGGCCATCATGGCTAATAACTCTTGACATATCTTTCCTCCATGAGTTTGTCTAATCTCCTTTTAAGGCTGCGGTGGCTCAAGTGGTTAAGACGGTGAACTGCAGGCTGTGGAAGGTTGGTAGTTCAGCAGTTCAAACCCCGAGTGTGCCGCATGACGGTGTGAGCTCCCATCTCTAGTTCCAGCTCCTGCCAAGCTAGCAGTTCGAAAGCAAGAAATTGCAAGTAGATAAATAGGTACCACTTTGGTGGGAAGGTAACAGCGTTCCGTGCACCTTGGTGTTTAGTCATGCCGGCCACATGACCACGGAAATGTCTTCGGACAGCGCTGGCTCTTCGGCTTTGAAACGGAGATGAGCACCGCAACCCTAGAGTCGGATTCGACTGGCTTTCAAGCAAGGGAACCTTTACCTTTAAGCAAATGATAATCACCACCTGCAGTGGCAGTGAGTCCCACAAGGTAATTGTACAGTGCAAAGAAGTGAGGGTCAACACATGCACCCAACACACACGCCCCGTTTGCAGTATAATCCTAGGTATCTTTACTCAGAAGAAAACCCCACTGAATCCAATGGAATTTCCTTCCTAGGAAGAGACAGAGAATTATAGACCAAGGGCTACATGTATTCGCCACTGGGCAACTGATGAAATCTACCTTTCTCACAATGTTCTTTTGATGATACAAAAGAACCACAAAAGGATTTTGAACAGTAGAAATGAATGACAGAGCAGTTCATAATGTAATGTAATACATTTTATTAGGACCTTCCAAAAGGTCACAAAACAGCAAGCAATCTTTAAGGTTCCCAGAAATCTTTATCAGTCTGGTTGTGCAGTGCAGGTGGGGTGGGGGTGGACAGGAAAAAAAAAAGATGTCTCAGGGCAAAATGGGGGAGGCTGTAGTCTCCACCACCACCCCTGTACTGAATATCCAGGTTGATGAAGAGTTCAGGGAAACTCAAAAGCTTAAACAGGGCTTTTGTGTAATTTTGGTTCATCCAAATAAAAAAGGCGACTGTGGTTTCCGATTTCTCCCTCCTATGGACCAACACACCTGTCCACAATTTAAACGTATCCCCAGTGCAGTCAACTTTACACAAACTTCTGAAAAAGAAACCCCTGCCAAGCTCTAGAAACAGGAGCCTCCCTACTCGGAAGTGAATGCTATAATAAGCCATCTCTTCGTCTCGGAATCCCCCCCTTCCTCGAAACAATGCCGTTCAGGAAAGCGCTTGGTTTTTAGCGAGTTCTCCACCGGTGTTAAGGGACGCAGTGATTAATATCGGCTATTTCTGCCATGCGTGCAGCGGCCTCTGCTGGCGCACGTCTGCTTGGCAACCGTTCCGCTCCAAGCCGAGGAGGAGCCATGTGTGGGGTACAAGGGAACGACTAAGGGGGAGAGGGGTGACACCTGGGGGGGGGCACACCACCCGGCGAAATCTGGGGAGGGGGGGAGAAAAAACAAACGAACGGCAGCAGCCTTGGAAAGACGGTGACTCCCTGGATCTGAACCATTTACTGTTTTCCCTTTTCTTGGCGCCGTGGGCGAAGAAGATGTGTTACCAACAGTTGCTGGGATCTATACATGCACATACATTCTAAGCGGCAACAACGAAGGCACAAAAGCGAACGGAGAGGGAGAGGCAGTTCACGAGGGGCTCCATCGCCCGAGCTTCGACAGCTGGTAAGCCGCGCGGCATTCTTCGCCCCAGCAGCCAGGCTGAGCTCGCAGGAGGCTTTGCGCAATTCCGCCAGGGGATGGCTGGCTGGCTGGTTGGCTGGCGGAGGCGAGAGGAGCCAGGGCTCGAGCGGGGAGCCGAGGGGAGCGACGCGCACCGCGATCCCGCCCTCCCCTCTAGCCGGGGCGGACGGGGGTGTGTGTGTGTGTGGAGACGACAGAGGCCGGCGGGTCGCGTCGGGCAAACTTTGCTGGCCGAGCGGGCTGCGGGAGTGACGGGCTGGGGCTGCGCGCTCTGCTCCGGCCGACCTGGGCTGGAGCCTTGGAGCTGGCGCGGCAGGCTGGGGCAGGCGCAGGCCCGCCGGGGCGACGGGGAGCGGCGAGCCGCCTGCTGCGCTTGTGATCTTTCGCCCGAGTTTGCGGGAGTTGTGTGCATGGCAGGGGCAGAGAGGTTCGGGAGAGGCGAACCAGGCGCTCGGTCGGCTTCGTTGCAGCGCGCGGCGCTCGGTGCAGTAGCAGCAGCAGCACCACCACCAGCAGCAATAGCAGCAGCACGAGCAGAGCGACTGCAAGACACCCGAAAGGCGCCGGCCAGGGCTGCATGCCTGGATCTTGCTGCGGGTATAGCCATGGTCTCGGGACCGGGGAGGGGGGAGGCATCCGCGGAGGGGAGTGAAGCAGACGGTCGAGGGGGGGGAGTCCGGCCGGGGGGACCGGAGGCGCGCGGGTGACTCCCCAGGGTAAGAGGGGTGGGAAAGGCTGCCGGAGGTAATAGGAGGCTGCGGCTCTGCAGTGCCCTCTTTCTCTGGCCAAGGGAGGGAGGTGAAGAGGGGAGATGACAGGAGGGTGGGAGGATGAGCCCTCCCCACGCCGAGCCTTCGCCCAGGCACGGCCTTTTCCAGGGTTTGGAGGCCGGAAAACACTTTGGAGGTTGTGGGGGGGGGGAACCCTCCTTGGACTACTGAGAATTGACTTCACCTGCACTGCACTTCCATGCAAATCACAAAAAAAGATAAAAAGAAGAAAAAGCCAAGCCCAGCCTCTTTCTGGGTTGTTGTTGTTGTTTTGTCCCCTGAATATTTCCAGGGGTTGATGGCAAAGAAAAATGCACCGACTCTTGTTCTGTGGCCAGAGTGTCTTGGCTGTCTCTGTGTGTGTGTGTGGGAGGGTGTTACATGGCAGAAGGAAAAAAGAACTCAAATTTGCCTTGAAAGCATCCTCCTTTTGCTACGTTTTAAAATTAATAAACCAAAATCCAAAAGCAGGAACCAGAAATGAAGAAGGGGTCGTGATTTCCTTCCAATACAGTCACGATTAGCTGTTTGACTCAGGCAGGCAGCCTTCCAAGGAGTGCCCATCAATCTTGCAAGCAGGTATTCCTACCATGCCTCCCCCAGAGCCCTTAAGGTGCTGCGAAGGAAATAAGCCCTTGTTTTATCTGTGACTGTTCTTTATATTGGCACCTTGAATTTCAGGAGGTGTTAACTAGCTTCCCTTTTTTAAAAAGCCATGTAAAAAAGCCATGGCTCCATTTGGGAAATAAAGGGGGAAATAATTCACAATAGCAAACATTTATTTTTAAAGGCAAACTCAAGTATCTTATTTTGGGTAATTTTTGCACGTTGGTTGTGTCGTGGATGTGTCTGCTTGAAAAATATGATTTATTTTCTTACTTTTCCGACTAATATGTGGATCAGACATACCTTTTGTATCAGTCTATCTGTGGGAAGTCATTTAGTTGAATACAAAATCATCCTTGCTGTGCTAGAGTTCCCATTATCCAAGCTGTTCAGGATATCTGAATTCACTTGTGTCCCCTTCATGTGTACAGAAAGGCTCCCTTAACCAATTTCCTTTAAATTCTACTTTCCCCCTGTCCGAGTGTTGGCTTAACTAAATGTTTGGTCTGCTTGCTGGGCAGATTGAACAACTGGTGCCCCATATCTTGCTTAGTATCTGACCGTTTTGCTGTCTTGCTGCTGACTGATGTGCATTACTCCATTTCTTGTCCACTGCAGCTTCAGAACAAAAGTGGCCAAGGGACACCCCTGCAAAGTCAGCTGCTTCTAGTCCTCTTTTCACTGGGAATGGACAATGGGATGTGCTCTAATTATATCATGATCAAAAACTGCTTCCTGCTCTGCATTTCCATGAGTTTAGCCAGTCACTTTGGGTAAGTTACCACTTTTACAGAGTTTTTTTCCATATTTTCTTCAGGATATCTCTGTTGTTGTTGTTCAGTCGCACAGTCGAGTCCGACTCTTTGCAACCCCATGGACCAGATCATGCCAGGCCTTCCTGTCTTCCGCCGTCCTCTGAAGTTGGCTCAATTTCATGTTCGTTGCATCTATGACACTGTCTAACCATCTCCTCCTTTGCCGTCCCCGTCTTCTTTGACCTTCAATCTTTCCCAGCATCAGGCTCTTCTCCAGTGAGTGCTCCCTTCTCATTTGGTGGCCAAAGTATTTGAGCTTCAGCTTCATTAGCTGGCCTTCCAGGGAACAGTCAGGGTTGATTACTTTTAGGATTGACTGATATCTCTGTACATCTGTTGAAAACCAGACGCTGTTCCAAAAGAAACAAAGAGGGTGCACCCTAATGCGTCCTTAAGATTATCAGTGTGGCGCAGAGGCAACTGGGAGAGATCAAGCAAAGTATTTTTCTGTCTCAGTTTCGCCATCTGTACAATAGCGGTAATCTGAGCCTGAAATCTGGAGATGCTCTGAAGACAAATGAGTTACAAAGCATAAAACGCAGGGGAAAGATCTATAAGCATTGGTATTTACTGTCTTTTTCAGCAAGCATCCAGGTGTATCGTCGATCCTGGGATGAGGAGATGATGAGCCAGTCAGAATTCTGGCCTTTGGGACTCTGGTTGGTTTGGAACGTTAAGGCTGAACAAGGAAACTCAGGGCATGTTTGACGTGTCCATCTGTTTCCCCTACTATTGCTGTAACATTCAAAAGAGGAATTCATGCATCAGCAAGAGGCAAGTGTTCTGTGTGTGCTTGGGCACCTCACCCTACGGAGAAATGCACAAGTCCCCCACCTTTGCATATGTTCTGGAAGCAGAATGCGCTGGCACAACAACTTTTTGTTCTGGGAGCAAAGCAGCTCTCACTTTTTGAAACTGTCAGCCCAACACTCCAGGCCACGAAGGCCTCCAAGGTGCATGATTTTTCTGGCAGAAATCAGCATCTGTCACTGTGATCGCACTTTTAAGAGCCAGGCTTGTGTTGCATCCACAATGGTCAGAATCATGCATCTGACAGAAAGGTAGCTGGTATATCTGTGTTACCTGAAGGCGATGGAGATTGTTGTGACCGTCGATAGGAGAAATAATTTCTTCTGTTTAACTTTTGACTGTGCAGTGAACTCAGTAGGTGGCCTTAGGCAAGGGGCTCTCTCTCAGTTTGGTCCTCATTTAAAATAGCCTAATATAGAGGTCATTATAGTGCTGTTTTTTGGATTCCTGAGAAAATGAATGTGAAGGGCTTAAGGCACCCCTAAAGGTCTTCAATCCAGAAAACAAAAGCCTTGCCATGCCTTCTATACAGACCGACTGAAATAACACAACACAGAGGGACAATTTTCAAGTTCTCCAGCACTCTTAATAAGACAGGATGTTTAAAAATGGGGAAAGGGGTGGGCTTTTCCACCCATGATCTTTAGGCCTTTTTTGTCAGCATTCTGTAAAGAAAGTTTTGCTGACTTCAGAGAGTGCAGGGTGTGGTTAGTATCAAATTGCATCCTTGGTACACTGGGAAGAAGAAACAAAAAAACCAGAAGCTATCATGTTAAAAATATAATAACTAGTAAGTGATTAGATGTCTCTTCGGGCTTAGAATCATAGAATCCCAGAGTTGGAATGGGCCATACAGGCCATCTAATCCAACCCCCTGCGCAATGCAGGATCAGCCTAGAGCATCCCTGACAAGTGTTTGTCTGGACACTCCTTAAAGATTGCCAGTGAGGGGGAGCTCACCACCTCCCTAGGCAGCTGATTCCACTGTTGCACTACTCTTACTGTAAAAAAGTTGTTCCAATATCCAGTTGGTACCTTCCCACCCTTAATTTAAACCCATTATTTCAAGTCCTATCTTCTGCTGACAACAGGAACAGCTCCCTGCCCTCCTCTAAGTGACAGCCCTTCAAATACTTCAAGAGAGCAATCATGTTCCCCCTCAACCTCCTCTTCTCCAGACTAAACATTCCCAAGTCCCTCAGCCTTTCTTCACAGGGCTTGGTCTCCAGGTCCCTGATCATCCTCATTGCTCTTGTCTGCACACGCTCTATTCTGTCCACATTCTTTTTAAAGCAAGGCCTCCAGAACTGCACACAATACTCCATGTGCGGCCTGACCAATGCAGTGTACAGCAGGACTGTGGCACCTTGTGATGTGTTATGCCTCTGTTGATACAGCCCAAGATCACATTAGCCTTTTTTGTCGCCACATAACACTGGCTGTTCATATTTAACTTTCGGTCCACCCTTACCCCAAGATCTTGTTCACATACACTGCTACTCCCCCATCCAGTATGTGTGTTCCTCAAGAACTCGGCACTTATCCTTGTTCAACTACATCTTGTTCACATCCTCCCACTTTTCCAGCATGTTCGGATCTCATTGAATTATATCTCTATGTGTGTTCGCTACTCCTCCCAATTTAGTGTCATCTGCAGATTTAATGAGTAGCCCCTCCACAAAAAATATTGAAAAGTACTGGGCCTAGAACCGAGCCCTGTGGCACCCCGCTGGACACCTCCCTCCATTTAGATGAAACTCCACTGACAACTACTCTCCAAGTGCAGTTCTCCTACCAGTTCCCTAATCACCTAACTGTCCTACAGTCCAGTCCACAGTCCTTTAGTTTACCCGTAGGGACATCATGGGTAACCCTGTCAAAAGCTTTACTGAAATCCAGGTAAACAACATCAACAGCATTCCCTCGATCCAGTAAGCTCATCACTTGATCAAAGAAGGAAATGAGGTTGGTCCGGCAGGAGCTGTTGGGGACAAATCTGTGCTGACTTCTCTGGATCACCAAGTTGTCCTTTAGATGCTCACAGATTGTCCCCTTTAAAACCTACTCCAATATCTTCCCTGGGACAGAGATCAGACTGACTGGCCTGTAGTTTCCTGGCTCATCCTTTTTTTTTGAAAATTGGGATAACATCAGCCCTCTTCCAGTCTTGTGGCATGTCTCCTGTCGTCCAAGAGGTCTGGAAGATGATGGACAAAGGCTCTGCAAGCTCTGTAGAAACTTCTTTGAGCACTTTTGGGTGCATACCATCTGGCCCTGGGGATTTGTACTCATTCAATGCAGCCAGGTGCTTCTCAACTACCTCTCTGTCCATGTCAACCAGCAGCCCATCTCTAGATGAGCCTGTTTTCATCACTTTAGTACTGCTTTAGCAATACTAAAATGGGCTTTAAAGGACTGAACATTTTCTTTATTATTATTATTATTATTATTATTATTATTGTTGTTGTTGTTGTTGTTGTTGTTGTTACTATTGTTACTATTACTGTTGTTACTACTACTACTGCTGCTGTTGTTATCATCATAATCATCATTCTGTTTTGGAAATAGATGAGTTTTGCTTACCTCCCCCTAATATTAAACCATAAATCAATAAACCACATGGGAATGTCTTAATCATGTGATATGAAGGGGAATATAAGGGGAAAATCCAGGGCTTCTTACACTGCATATATTTTCCTGCTTCCCCCTCCAGCTGCAATTTTCTGTTCCCCCTGAAACTGTGGCCCCCTTTGGGTCAGAGGACCCTGAGGAATGTAATGGGACTCAAAGTGGGGTGCTGCAATAAGAAGGGGAAACTGAGAACAATTGCACTTTCTTTTTCCCACAAACAAAAGTGCCTACTGCAAGTAGAAGGAGAAGAGAAGAGATTGGATTTATACCCCGCCCTTCACTACCCAAAGGAGTCTCAGAGCGGCTTACAAACTCCTTTCCCTTCCCCTCCCCACAACAGACACCCTGTGAGGTAGGTGGGGCTGAGAGAGCTCTTGACAGAAACTGCTCTTTTTTTCAAGAACAGCTGTGCCAGAACTATATGCAAGTGGAGGAGCGGGGAATCAAACCCAGTTCTCCCAGATTAGAGTCTGCGCACTTAATCACTACACCAAAATGGCTCTCAAGTGGAAAAGACAGTTCAAATCCAAGACACACTATTCATGGCAACTATGGGGGAGATCCTATTGTTTTTAAGATATCAATTGTATTGAAAGCAGATTTTGTGTGATGGTCAGTTTCGGACAAGGTACAGGGAGATATGGGTTTAGCTCCCCAGTCTGCTATTAAAATCACTGCATGGCTTTGGATTATCACTCACTCTCAGCCTAGTTTATTCATAGGGCTGTTTGTGTATGCTGCTTCTTACAGGAAGGGCAGGATAAAACCCAGATAAATAACAGAACCAAAATGTTCATTGCAACAAGAAAAACAGCATTAATTGCAACAAGAATGGTGATTCTTAATTTTAAGAGGAAACATAGCTAATTGCCCTAATTTCCTGACAGTATAACAGAGACCAGTCCAGTGTTCCAGGTAACCGCTGAGCTTTGAGCATCTGAGTTTCCAGTGGCCTTCAGTGTCTCAAGTGTCAAAAATATTTGTAGCCGATGCATCCTCCTCATCTCAGTCTTTTCAGCTGATAACATTATAAAGCAGACTGAATATATGTGAAGAGAAGCTGGTTGCCTGGAAATGATTATGACAAAGCCCCCAGTGTACCTTCGTGGGGAAAGTACCATCATTGAGAATTCTCAAAAAAACAGCCGGGCCCCAAATAGCAGATAGGCTGAAGCCATGGTCTCTTGGCATGATTTAAGTTACAGAGCAAATGGCCAGGCTACTGGAGCAATTGTGTTACGCTCCCCTTGCGATCACTCATCCCAGGGTGATGTGACTCGGCTGGGAGGGAGCAGGGAGGCCCCGCTAACACAACAGCATTACATTTTACCATGGAGATTTCTGTTATTCCTAGAGCAGGGTGACTTCCCATGGTGATTCTAAAATGTATTTTTCTCCCACCAGCCAAGAAAGCGGCAGTGGGGGGTTGCTGGCAGTAGGTCTCCTGACATAGCAGGAGACCTGGCAACCCGACTTGGCCTGGTTGGCATCATCACTTGGGTGTTTCTATGGGCTCC